CAACTCACCTTGGGCACCAAAATGACTAGAGCCAGCACTGATGGGAATTACGTTGGAGAGCTGGTTCTTTTGGATCAACTCACAAAAATGACCCGGCTCTTTTGGCTTYTAAGTGGATCCTCAGATTCTTTGTTGCATATCACCAAAGTGTGTGTAAAATAAATTACTTATGTAAAATAAATGTTTGTTTATTTGGCACAGCAAGAAAGCAACAACTCCCAAAACTGGGAGCAACGGAGACAGTGCTGTTTGTCTWAGATGAGGAAACAGCAGCTAACCTTTCAGCAATTCTGAAAAAGGCAAAACAAAAAGAAAAAGCTGCATCCAGGTGACATTTATTGCGAGTTTTTAGCAAAGATTGGCATTTGGGGAAAAAAAAAACTTTCTCCTGCCAGTCACTTCAAATAGCTGGCTCTTAGAGCTGGATCATTTGCAACCATCCCATCACTAAAAGAGAGAACCCACAAACTCTATTCAAAATGGTTCCCAGCCCAGATTTAATCCAGCAATCTTCTCACTGAGAGACATCAGCTCTACAAACTGCTCTACCATGCAGGCCAAAATACTTTTGTTAGAATGAATTCAGATTTTTCTTATTGAATAGGGGGTGAGCAAACAGAAATGATGCCTCTGTCCTCTGTAGGTCTTCATGCTTCATTCAAACTTGCAGTAGTGTTTCAGGGCCTCAGGCAGCTGAAGCCAGTCAATGGCCATCCTGTGAACGATGTGCTTCTGGATGGCCTTCCTGCACAGCGTCTGCAGAGAGGAAACTGAGGAAAAGACATCATGTTAGCTGAAATTCGTGTAGAAAAAACAGTAAAATAACAAAGAAAATTTAAACATTTTCAATAATTACAGAACAAAATTTACAACAGAGTCAAAACGCCCCAAATAAAGTTTAAACATCATGAACACATCTCCAAGTGAAGAAAAGAAAGAAAAAAGTCTGTGTATGGTCAAAAGAACCACATCACATAAAGTGAAAAGTCTGTTCTGGCACTTTTTGTCTTCAAATTTAATTTGTACATAAAGTGTTTTCTTATATTATAC